GCAGTATACTTTTTGGACAACCTTTGTATGGAGTTATGTAGACATTAGGTTAAATGTCGCTCCCCTAATAGAGTGCTACCGGTTCCTTTATTTGAGGACAAATACATTTCGGGTCATTCACTAAAAGATTTACACACCGACAAAAAAGCACAAATACCATGCTGTACAAACTAAAGTAGCGGTCACACTTGCCGTGTGGGCTACCGTGTGGGCTACCGTGTTCGCCACCGTGTGGCTAATTAAAAAGTTCATGTTTTAATTAATTAATTTATTTTGTATTTGATGCGATAGGGATCATCTTGCTGTAAATTTTTTTGTTTTGCCCACTGTGTGTCTATGCCGTGCCCTGCCGTCTGGCCCAAAAGTTTTTACACGGTGGCGAACGGTGAGCCCACACGGCCTAAGTGTGACCGCTCCATTAGCTTTTATAAACACAATGGATACCTTTTTTCGATTTGGGAGAAAAAAACGTTAACTACATTTTGATCCACTTGGATTCTGGTATACTTGTAGCTTTATTTACTACGAGTCACGTATCCTTTAATAAAGTGGGAATTTTGGAGATTAAATAAAACCCTGCTACTTTTAGAATTGTATAAATAACATGAATAACAAGTATGTTTATCTACCAGAAAGTTTTTGAATACGAGAAGATTAGCTTTAAACAAGTTTAGCATTATGTGTCCAAAAAGGATACTTAAATAAGGATAGATAAAATGGCAATATCTCAAAAACGAAGTTTATTATAATTTACAATGGTTTTACTTTTCAAAACGATCACGATTCTCTAATTTTAGTGCCCGGTGGGGGGGCTCACTCCAAATAATATGAGTAGGTAAGTGCAGCATGGTCAATTTTGGCTTTGAGCAGAAAACATGGAAATTGGCCAGTATGAGAGGAAAAAACATGGAAAATAGTCCAAAAAAGCACCCTTTTTAGTCAAAATTCAGTTTTTCTACAGAAGATTGTATAAATTCGTTAAATCAGTTGTTGAGGCCCGGTGTGAAAGAAATGATGGTCCCCAGGGATTATGGTCCCCTTTCTTAACGGCCCTTACTGGCCCTGATTGCGTATAAGATAATGAGGGAAAGAGTTGTATTGAGGTCACCATATAAATCAATGGAGAGTAGGACAATAATTTGAGAGGACCTCCTACCCTGTTACACCGGAACAAACCACTAGAAAAGTTTATCTTTTAGTCATTTATTATTCTCAGAGGAATTAAACATGGAACCTTCAATCTTGAGAGGAAATGGACATGGAAAATGCTCAATAAAGGGGTCTTTGGGGCGGCACATATGTACTTAGAAGTATATTGGAGTGAAACCCCCGAGTTATAGTGATAATACAAAAAAGCGGGACATTACTTGGGAATGGGTGGTTTTCGAATCTATAAAGTAAACTTTTATGTAAAGTACTATTCGTATAGATAATTCACTTTAAATGTTTGAATCGTACTTACATGTATTGCATTGATCAATTTTAATGGTTAATAGAACAAGGGACTCGTCGGTTCGATCCCCACAAAGGTGGACTGACTTTTCCACATCAGCCCTTAGCGCAGACTTTATTGTGTGTTTTCATCAACTTTTCTAACTCTTATGAGTTGGATATTCATAAACGTGGAGTTTTAAAATCATATACTTGTTACGGGTCACATATCCTCTCTTTACTAAATCTATTGAACTTTAAGAGATTGAATAAACTCCTTATAATTTTTATCACACATAACAAGTATGTATAATTACCAGAAAGTTTTGTAACACCCCAGTCACATTTCCTACGTCGACAGTGCGGTCTATCATTTATGCGGTCAGTTACATTTCTACGCTCCCCGTTGAATTTCTGCGGTCGGATACTTTTGCAGTCACATTTCCTACGGCAGCCGCACGGCAAGTTTTGAATTACTGTTGATTAACGTTAATTTTTTTATATATACTGTACATCCGATCAGTCCAATTTAATGTTGTTTGTAGTGTTAAGATATAGTATCAAATAAGTTGCTGTTGTATATTTGACCTTACATCATGGTAAACGTATTTTGTTGTGTTTACAGCAAAGATATGACCGAAAACCGACATGAAACTGTTTCCAAAGGTACATTACCCATCAAACCCTACAACAGACGCAAGTCAACGGCAAACCCGACGAGGCGCCACCGTTGGACATTTCTGTGGTCTGGCAACAGCCTGTTGATTTCTACGGGGACCGCAGAAATGAAAAAAATATTATAACTCCGGGTTATGATTTCTATGGTTACCATATGCATGCGGCCTGTAAAAAACTGGATACGCCGTAGGGAGACCGCAAGGCGAGCGTAGTTTTTCTACGTTCGCCGCAGAAATTCACTGATTTAATTGATCTGCGGTCGACGCACGGCCGCCCTACGACAAATGTGACTGGGGTGTAACGACAAGATGAGCCTTGCGTAAGTTTTGAATTATGTGTCCAAAAAGACAGAGTTTGTATTTCTCTAAGCGTCCTCTGAATAATACATAATCACAAAAAGACAGCGGAACCTTGGTTGGAAAGCGCGGTTTCCGACGTGATTAAGTGCATGTATTGTATATGTTAAGTTCTATTCTTGTACTGATTTTAACTGAGATAATAACAATGGTTAAAAGGAGACTAAAGCATATCCAGTTATTCAATTTCTATTTTCAATTCAACGAATAAATAGATATTTTCTAGACCACTTGTTTTCTTTGTTAGACACCATTGCAATTTGAAAGAAATGTTTAATTTTAGATTCTTTGGAGCATAATATATATTTTGTAAAGTTGGTCTTTTTGAAATGTCAGCCTAACTAACTAACTAATATATTAAACTAACTAACTAACTAACTAACTAACTAACTAACTAACTAACTAACTAACTAACTAACTAACTAACTAACTAACTATTCAGTAACTTACTGTGAGTTCACCACGAAACCTTTCTCAATGGTGTCAAATAAATATGGTAACCAATTTATTTTCAAAAGTATGAATTTTGTACACGTTTATACATATTTTTCTTTTAGAGTATTCGGTTGTTAACTATTATAGCAAGTTTCATAATCCTATCTTACTTAAAGCTTCATTTTTATCTGAGTTCTTTAAAGGCAGGGATTCCTTACCATATCGTAAATTAAACCACAACCACATTTTGATTTAGCCTATTGTATAATGCCTTGGTCACATTTGCTTCAATTTTCACTACAGCGCCCGGCTGATTGAGTATTTTGTTCAGAAATGTATTCAATTTCGAACAAAATACTCAATCGGCCGAGCGTCGACCGATGAATCGCAACAAATGTGACCCAGGCATTACTGCTATGACAGTTTTATTACATTACATATTTCAAGGCCTATAGGAACTACTATTAAAATTTAAAACTACCATTATATTCAGAATATATCCATGAATAACCTTGACGCATGATGATGCATCATTTGTTTAAGATTTCACCAGAAAGTGCCCTTAAAGGTTACCTCTTAAATGACAGACTATGAAGACATCAGACAAAATATTGTTATTATTTTTATGGTGGATTAAGGTTTTGCTGTCCAATATTTTGTATCCTCCTAACATTAAGATTTCATCAATGCAAATAAGTGATTTCAAACATTTATTTTCAGAAATAAGATGTGATCCAATGTAGTATTTAAATGATTAATTATTCAATGATCAATGATCAGTTCTCAATTATATCTAATGTGTTAGTGAATTGAATATGTTGACCAAGTGTTGGAGTATACAAAATATATGGTAAAACGTGTTATTTTTGATGAGTATCATTAGTAATTCATCATTGGAGTTAATTGGAGAAAGGGGCTTCGTCCCCTCTGTGTTTTCATTAACAATGGCCATCTTGAATTCACATCATGAAGAATGTATTATGTGCTTAAATATAAAATACAGGGTGACCGGAAAAAAAGGAGACCATTGAAGTAATCAATTTCTCCTAAACTAGACAAGTGCCATCAATGAAATTTTGCATACACTGGAACAGTTATATGGAAATTTGTTACTGAAGGTTTCAATACAAGCATTCTACTGGTTCAGGAGCTATGATCATTTACATAACATGCTCCAAATAGGCACAATTGAGACCAACGCAGAGTTGGATTCATATGGCAAACTACCCTTACATGTTCTGCCCTCTATGGCATTATTATGGCATTACATATAGCAGTGATTGCCTTCTTTAGGTCAACAATAGTCTGAGGATTGTTTTGGTATAGATTGTCTTTCAAATATCCATACAAAAAGAAATCAGCAGGATTCAAGTCTAGGCTGTAATGGCAATGAAGGGTTATCTGACATGTGGTTCATCATCCTGTTGCCAAAGTGCTGATTTACCCAATCTTAAGAGTCACTTTAGGTATTGGGCATAGTGCCATGTTACTAAAACCACTATATGGCACAATTAAATCCCATATGGAAACCAAGGGCTGCCCAAAACCTCCTTAGGATGATACTGTAACTGAGTGGGACCACTGAGTCAGAAGCCATAGGTCAGATAAGCTTCGTCTCCATACACCTCAAATTTGAATCCACCTGATTTCTTTTTGTGGGGCAATTTGAAAGACAATGTGTACCAAAACAATCCTGAGACAATTGCTGACCTAAAGGTGGCAATAAATGCTAAATATAATGCCATAACAAGGTCGGAATATGTAAGGGTATTTGCCAAATGTATCCAGCTCTGCGTTGGTCTCAATTGCGCCTATTTGGAGCATGTTATGTAAATGATCATAGCTCCTGAACCAGTTGACTGCTTGTATTGACACTTTCAGGAACAAATTTCCATAGAACTGTCCTGATGTATGCAAAATTTCATTGATGTCACTAGTCTATTTTAGGAGATATTGCCTATTTCAATGGTCTCCTTTTTTTCCGGTCACCCTGTACCTCGGAATCCTCTATTGCTTAGATTATGAATTAAAATCTTTTGAGCAATGCATCAAAATGCAATACTAAATATTACGTAAATATAAATGTTCTGTTCATTTCAGTACCTGTACTTGAGGTTTGACTCTGTAGCTGTTCGAAAACTTGGCTCTGTAATGGGAATCATTGCAACGGTAAGGCAACAAGAAAATTTGAGTCAAATGTATCATGATGATCGTTTGGCATCAAAAGATGCTGCGTTATTTATGAATATGTGTGCATAAGTAACAAGAGATAATACCAGAAATGGTTACGGAAACAGCAATAAAAGAAAACATAAAATGAGATTATTTTATTTAAACATTTATCCTCTACAATGCTGCGCTATAATATAACTTGTGTACCATACCGATTTATATATTAAGAAACGTATGAGAAATTTTGAGAGAAAAGTGACTGATTTCATTATCAAATAATTCTTAATTTACCGTTTCAGGTATCTTATATGGGTACAGCAATGTTTGCACCATCCACAGCTCTTGAAGCAGGTAACTACGCATTATCATTTGAGACTTTAAGAAATGCATATAAAATCGAAACGTAAACCTGTACGTATAAATTGCCCTATAAAAATGCATGTAGTTTTCTCACATAAATACTCGTTCAGTAACAGTGTTTACTTAGACCGTTACTTAGACTACACATCGCTGTGTAATATGCCATTGATAATAAAACATATATGGCATACATCATTTTCTTCAGAAGGAATTATACTGTTCATCGAAATCATAATTGATAGCATAGTATTCAATAGACATGAGTATAATGATTCCCATTGACACCAACGTGAAATTGCAAATCTCCCGATCTAAGTACGAAACTAAAGCTGATCGGGTATCCGAAGTAGACCTAAGTAGGGCCTGTTTTATATGCTCGCTATACACATCACTACCCATCTATTCATTGATTTTGCGTTCATTTGCGTTGTGAAAAACATCGCTTGCTTAAAGTCTCCATTATCTCTGATATCGCTTTTGCTTAAATTAAAATCGAATAAGTGTAGGTATAATCCCATACTGATTCGTAAGAGACCACAGATAAAGATAAATGTAGCCATAATGAAGAAATTAGTTGAGAAGTGCATGTATACAGACCTCCAAAACCTCGACAATTCTGACAATCATCGGGAGAGAGTGGTAGAGTTAAAGACAGAGATGATTTTTAAATCACCACATAAATAGGCTGAAACACCATGATTAAATGGGGGGGGGGGGTAAATTGTCAACTTTTGGAGATATATTAAGCTGGGTAGTGCGATATATAAAGCAAACCACATAAGCTCAAGTTAAACAAATCTAGATAAACTATCAGGCATATACTATAATGTTAACAAAACACGTGTGTTTTTAGTTACTGGTTTTCCTGTCTGGGCATCCATATTGGTCACTGCAGGCGTCGGAACCATCTACACATCCATAGTGAGTTGCATTCATTCTTATCTGGTAGAGTTACTATAGACTCGAATATATCTATGGATATTTGAGAGAGGAATGATGCGGATCAAAGATTATTATCAAACCGAGTGGAATCCTATTTTTGTGGAATACTGGAACTCATTCTCAATTTGGTCCTTTAAAAGCATAACGAATACTTATGCTAGATTTATTGTTAGAAATCGTAAATACTGTCCGCTTTTTTAAACTATCGAAGTTCAAATTCTAAAATGCTTACAATTTTAAAAATTTCAGCCAACGCTTTATTAAATTGTGAATGATTACAATCTCAAATATGATATCTCCTTAAGGATCCATGATATGTTATTAACTGGTGACGTTATTGATGAGTCAAAGTACCAAGATGGGAAAAATGCTTAATTCTACCAAATAATAAAATGGTAAACAGAATGGTTCTAGAACTTTTAATGCAGTGCTGTACAAATCTGCAGTTTTCCTCAAACAAAGTATATACACTCGGGGATTTTAAAAAATAGACATGATAAGGAATGATATTAGCCTAAGATATTATAAAATTGAAGCAATTAAGAATTATCATCTAAGGATATTGTTAGATCCAATTCTTCCCTTGAAGCCAAAACATGTCCAAATAATTGAAAAATCAAAAGCATTCTCGTTGCCATTTTAGAGATGTACAATGATATAAACATGCTTAGTTAAATCTGACTTAATTTAATGTATTTTTTATATTTTTTTCATTTTTTAAATTTACCTTATGATTGATAGGCTAATATATTATCCCCTTCCGATTCAGCGTATGATTAGAAAATAATCAGCGCTCAAGCAATTTAAAGTTTAAGCGGAGTCTACTAATTTATGCGACTCATACAATACCCACGCCAACTTTGATAATGAAAGAACACTGACCGTATAATATTTCATATTTTAGCGTACACATATAATATGTTTTTATCAACAATAACAATCTGCTGTCAGCTCAATTTATTCTCCATCAATCAAAAGTGATTTAAAACAAAAAAATTAACAGGTGTCCAAATATATAGAATAGAAGGCATACAAGTAAATTACCTTTTTTTATCAAAATCGATTGTACGAACATAATGGTGAACTGAATGTCTATCTAAAAACTCTTACATATTTAGATCTTTTGTTCAATCAGTAAGATAACTTTGTTATGCTGATCGAGGTGCCTTACTTGTTTGCAGGGAGGAATGAAGGCTGTTGTATGGACAGATGTGTTCCAATCGGTCATCATGTTTGGCGGAGTACTAGCAGTCATTGTCATGGTAACCGTATATGTTATCTATGAGTAATAATAAAAACAATAAATTTAAGTTTTTTGTCAGTTAACGTTGATGGACTATTGGAGTTTTTCAGTTCCATGTAGAAACCATATACAGCTAATTGCTTTGTTTTTTATAAACAGGGCCTTGTCAAAATTGGAAGTGTCTCCAAGGTATTTGAGATTTGCCAGGAACACAAACGTCTCAATTTCTTAAAGTAAGTTACCCAGTTAATATCTTGTACAATACAGTTTATACTACCATCTTGCCCTTTGAAGGTCATTAGCACGATTCAAAACAACAAAATCGTCAAATATGTAATGTATATTAAAGTTATGTTGATCAACTACATTACGGTTGATATTATTTATGTTTTAGCTTTGATTTTAATCCCACAAGAATCAATACATTCTGGACTATAGTGTTGTCAGATACGATACTCTGGTGGAAGGTTTATGGAACCAGACAAGCCAGTGTTCAAAGGTTTTGCTCACTGCCCACTCTAAAGAAAGCAAATGCGTGAGTAGAACAATATATATTAAGGATGGGCTGTTTGGTTGTTCACGCAGTTAGGTAATTTGGGTATACGAGGGGTGATCAGGAATTTCTGAACCATTGGTTCTATTTTTGCCATTTTCTATCCTTTCTTTGTGATTTGTTCACAAAATTTAACTCATATATAGGATCACTACCTGAAGATTTCATTGTTTCATGACATCATTATCAATGAACATTAATGAAATACTGAATGAAATAATACAACCTACTCCAATACATGTACATATTCAGCAACGAATACAGTGTTCAAACATCAGATGAAATTACTGTTGATTTTTCAAATTCAGTATTTTTTCTGAGCTTCACCTTGGTGCGTCACCGATTACCATGTTAACGTAAATAACAGGATACTGTAATGATATCGATGTCATAGAACAGTGAAATATTCATGGTGTGATCCTATATATTTGGGTTATAATGTGTGAAAAAATCACTAAAAGGGATAAAAAATGGCAAAAATAGAGCCAACGGTCCAGGAATTCCTGATTACCCCTCGTATCTATATGAAAGACGGATGGCTATTGCTGACGTGATTGATCATGTGACCTCTGATCAGATATCAATTATTCTTTACTGATTTGATCTACTTTGTTCATAATTAAAACTGCACATTTCTTACGTTAATGTTGACAAATTGTTAGATTCCCCTAAACTGGCCGGAAATCGGCGCTCTGATTTTCTAGAATGAATTTCGCTTCACAGCTTCATTTCACTTGCTATGAATAATCATAGCAAACTAATTCGTCGTGTCCAGTACCGTTTGGAATAAAATCTTGCACATTTGCACATTTTTGTTTGAATTTAGATAATAATTTTATACTCCGATATACATATAAGTTTTTGGCGTGTGATTGTTTTATAGGGCTGTTCTGCTCGTCATACCGATGCAATTTCTGTTGATTACAATGGTTTCTTTCGCGGGACTTGTCATATTTGCATACTACATCCATATAGGCTGTGATCCCCTTGAACAAGGAATTATTAAATCAGGAAATCAGGTAAAAGATATGTTTTCTGAATATTTAATAAATTAGGTAAGCAAGCTTACTGTATGTAGATTATGGATATTACTTTTATTTGAAAACATTATACATGTATACCATATTTCTAATCACAGTACATTTGATTTTTGATATCATAGTACCCCACACACAATTTTGTCGCCTACTTTGATGTATTGTAGAAAAATATCAAAAAAGAGTTTGCTTATAAAATTCGCCACACTTAAACTTGAAACATTTTGTGACACTCAAATTTTTTTATTTGGAAATTTAAGTAATATTGACGAAAACCAAGCAATTTTAAAATTATCATGTTTCAACAAAAGTCGACGAAAATTTCCAGTTTTGCAGCTTTAAAGAGAGTTTAAATCATTTTGATTACATTTTGATTACAAACTTATTGCATTACATATGGTTTGTCTGTTCTCTTAAGATATTGTTACTATGTTTTGGAGATGTTAAACTCCTAAACAGGAATATTGTAAGTTTGGTTTTATTTTTGTTTAAGAGTGAAGACCCCTTTTAATACTTTCAATACATAGACAGGTGCATGTATCATGTGATTTGTTGGTTTTAAGTGTAAAAGGGTTTATCAGGGCACAGAAACACATCCTTGCTTGGATTTCTATCCCATCCTGCCACTACAGCATTTCCTACTGTCTCACTCGATAAAAAATCCTTTCCAGTAGCTCGCATCTCATAAAATCTCAAGAAAATAGTTGTATTTTGTTTAGGGCATTATCAACAGTGAGCTTGCACTCAATTTTTCGTTGGCCTACTATCGGGAGGCCATATTCGCCCAATACCTCACAGGTGGCCACCGACAGCTTACCTTTTGTTGGAAATGATTCACATGGATTAAACATGTGAACTTTCAGGGGTAACATCATAACATTGTAACATTATAACAGTCACTCCTGTTTGGTTCAGTTGTTCTTTTACATGTGGATTATGATGGTGTTTAATAGGATAGGATTGACCAGAATATTCAAATTTTTTTGTAATCAATTTGTTACAAATTGTTTCAAAATTTAGCTTAATTTAGGTCAAATCTGTAAATGCGTAGCAATTTAGAAACCGAAGTCAAATTGTGGTGAAGTCATATAACCCCAAACAAAAAAATTAGAGTGTCACAAATTGTTTTAATTTAATGTATGCCAAATTTCATGAGAAAACTCTTATTGGATACTTTTCTACAACACATCAAAGTAGGCGACAAAATTGTGTATGGGGTACTATACATTACATTTTGTATATTTTATATTTTCGAACCAGCTTTCGGAGGTATTTTAGCATTCTTTCATGTCCATGCTACTATTCATACTACATGAAGTTACAACACAACTGGTGTAAACAATCTGGTCTTTGTAGATATTGCCATATTTTGTGATGGATACATTTAAGAGCCTCCCTGGTTTCTCAGGACTATTTCTTGCAACCCTCTTCAGTGGGGCACTCAGGTATGCTGCTTCTCTTTTCTTTAAACATTTAGATATTTGACAGTAAGAATATCATTGTAGAAAATACATGGAATGGAAATACTAGGACAAGTATTATTTTGTCTGATGTACCAGAAGAAGAAATGGTGATCAGACAATGCTTGGTAGTTGAGATAGCAATACACAATATTTCTTTGATTTGTTCATGAACGCCGAATTTTCATTTTAATTGTAGCTCCATATCATCAGGTTTAAATGCTCTTTCGGCGATCACCTGGGAGGATTTCCTCAAACACAGGTTCAGACATCTAAAGGAGTCAAGAAAAGCACTCTGCACAAAGCTTTTGGGTAAGCAGACGTATACGTTTTAGTAATATCATGTACAAAATTCAGTTTTTGACATTATTCCCTCGTTATTGCTTCGAATGTTCTTACATTAAATAAATTGTTGTTTCAGTAAATGTTGACTTAATAGATGTTCATACATCAACCATTTACTGTTTTAGTTGTAATTTATGGCGTTTGCTCAACTGGGGTTGCTTGTTTAGCAATTCTTATAAAAGGACCAATAATACAGGTAAGCGTTACACCTGTTGGTAATGTTTAATGGCAAAGGTTGTTAATTAATGTCAACAAGAAGAAGACCAATGTTGAGTGTATTATCATCCATTGTATTGTATTGTTTTGTTACTCAGCATTACTTTTACGTTTTGTTTATATCTAGAACCATGCACATACAATGTATAACATGTAATTTAATAATTCAAATAACGACAGCATCAGTCACGCAACTTTGTTCATCTTTATGTGATTCATTGATCGTTTTTTGTATCTCGCCCCATAGGCTGGCTCGACTTTAAGCGGTGCTATAGGTGGGAGTTCCTCAGCCTTATTTATACTGGGAGCTTTCACCGCCACTTCCAACTGGAAGGTAAGCTACATGTCTCTATAATTCGACTCTAAAATGATAATATGAAATAGTTCATGGCATACTACTATGAACTTCTACTAGTTTGAAAGTTTCTGAATATTTATTAAAGCAATTTGTATTTACTTGTGCATTTAATATGATCTATTGTGGTTGGAGCCATATATCACACATGACCTTGACCTTGTAAAGGATTACCACAAGGCCATTGTAGTCTGCAAGTCTGGGTCGTGAGTAAAGGCAACCATCCTCTACAATTTATTTCGTTCCAGGGAGCGATAACGGGACCAGTTGTATCTTTCATAATCCTCCTCTGGATTGCTATCGGAGGCCAGTCTATTAAAGGCAATAATCAATATTTACCTCCTGGGCCAACTGATCGATGTGAAATTTCAAATGGAAGCAGTGTTTATAACATTTCCGTTTATAACAATGTCACGTCGTGGTATAACGATACAATAGACATTGTATATGATGGAAATCTGTTAAATCATTCCAGCATTATGGAACCTCAGGAACAGGAATTGTAAGTCAATGTTATAGTATAAATAAAGAATAATCTATAAAGAACATCTCAGTGGTACTTACATTTGTATCATATATATGTTAAGTATTTTGATGGTGTTACAGAAAACTGTATTAGGTTTGCCAAATGTTGAACAAAATCTATTTACAATACAGCAAGAAAAGCATTACTAACCAGAGTTGTGATTATTTTCGTTAAGAAGAAACATAGCTAAGAATTGACCCTTTTTGTAAATGGAAAAATAGATGGCATCATGGTTATTGGTAAGGCTAAATAACAGCAATAGTCACTTAATTTATTGATTTAACAAGTAATTATATTTGGATCAACTTAAAACACAATTGGAATGTAACTATATCATGTTATTGACAACTGGAACGTTATTTCACATTAAAATTGTGATCCTTATAAAAGTAAATGAACGTTTAAAGGTTTTTCAACATTTAAAAAAAACTTGAAAATCTCTAGAATTTGACTAAAGGTAAATAACAGTGCAAATCAAGTTGTTTCAATAAAACATTACACACATAATTCAAATATGCCATCAAAAGAAGAAAATGTTAGTCTTCAGTGGTCAAAAATGGAGATCTCCTTAAATCTCATTAAAACGAGACTTTAACGAGATTTCAAAGCTGTATGGAAAAGCCTCTATTCAATAAGAGAAAAATGTCAAATTCTTTGTGACAAGATATACAGGAAGGCGTTCTTTATGGTGAAATGTTGTCCCATATAGTATTGCATTTTAACTGTCTAAAAGTGCATATACTTCTTGATTATAGAACAGGGATCCAGCACTTGTATGGCATTTCTCATCTCCTATATGCGCCGCTTGGGATACTCCTTGCCATAATTATCGGGCTTGTAGTCAGTTGGGCAACAGGTATTTATGAAACTCACATCTCCATTTGTTACTCTCATGATCTCTCATGATGTCTCTCATACAGTGAATGGTTTTCTTGATTATCAAAACTAATATTTATGATTTTGGACACTACTTAAGTTATTTGTTCTCTATAATTAAAGAGTACAATACTTTTAATTGTTTTTGTTCAGCAATTTAAACATCTTGAATCTTACATTATCGATTTTTCAAAGGCAAAACCATCCTGAAATTATTCAATATGATAACATTTGATATTTTACGTAGAGACGTTAACTTTCGATCTTTTAAGTAATGCTGGTGGAAACCCTCAATCAATTCATTGTTCACATTGTAGACAGATATAAGGATTTAACAGTTCTGATATCCGGATCTTATTTATCATTAAAACCTTTAATCTAAAGTGCGTTTCAATTTTGAGGTGGTGAAAAGGGAAGGTGCATAGACAAAGCATATACTTTCTCGCTGCGTGATGCAATATGCTGCTGTTGTTCATCTAGGGTCAAAGACAAAGCATGTGGATGTAAAGAAAACAAAACACCAAGACAAGTGAGTGATGTTGTGTTTACAATAAATATATTTATCGTTTGATCTGTAAAATGAAGCCCTCTGATTGGTCAGTTCTTGTGCTGTACCAATCTGTATTGCTACTGAGATTGTCCCCGTTGATCATCTCCGTCGCAATACAGAAAATATTGGTACGGAGGGGACAATCTCAGTAACAATACAGAGGATCACACGATAAAAACGTTGTTGAATGATTTGAAGTGCAATACAGGATATATTCTGTCTCGATATTCTGTATTGGCACTCGACTTCGTCTCGTTCCAATACAAAATTTCTCGAGCAGAATTTATCCTGTATTGCACTTCAAATCATTCAATAACTTAAAATATTGTGATCCTAATGCATAGCCTAATATCTTTAAATGAAAACATGATGAAATATGATGAAAAATAATATATTGTGCGATTGTACGATCCTATTTAACAATGTAAATATATCATGTCGTAATGATAAGAAACTAGCATTTTGTTGTATTCTAATTCTAGGAAAATGGAGTTGAGAGAAGTGTTCTTCGAGATACCGAGTATCAAAATATAGAAACTGGCAATGAAGAATCCGGATGCTGATGGAAATCACCACAATATCTAAATTGTGGTTAAAGATTCTGATATAAACTCCAGTTTGAAATTGCAGTGGTGCATAATTATGTTGAGATTATAATACAAAACTGTGGTTTACTTTTTGTTATGTAGTCCTCATCCAAGATCATCAGTTTCTGCACCCAACAGTATTGTCATTATCTCAACATGTATGTATGTACTATGTACACTGTTTATATTTTTATACACTCATTACTTTAGGAAATATAACCTAGATTGTCGCCTCGAACATACTGCAACTTGCTGCCATCATTCCTTTGGCATTGCAGCCATATTTGTTTGTCAAAACGGCGTCTGCATTGTCGCCCGGTCACTCTAAAATTATTATAAACCGATAAAGCAAAAACAAATTAAGTTACTATTTGTTTAATAATTAAAAAGTACCTTCGATATGTTTTGAATCAACTGTTTTCCCCGAAAAGTCTGCTGTTCCATTTTTTTTAAATTGACACATTTCTAATAATATAGGCCTAGTTGAGTTTAGTTAGATTTTTGAGTGAATGATTTTACTAGCCCTTAGAAGTTTATATACTATATATTATTGGGGAATACAATTATATAATCTTGAGTTGTGGACGAGAGTTGGTCACTGTGATCATATGTTATGATGTACAAATGTACAGTATCCAGTTGTACAGAGCCGGCTATACTGATATATGTAACCTGGTGTCCGATACGTGGTAATCGTTGTCCTGGTTGATACATTGTGATTCCGTCACCTCCTGAAAGGTCAAACAATACATATGATTGGATACAAGGGAATAAGAAACTTTGAACCAGATTGTAGAAAATGGGTCTCGATGGTGTCTTCTCAAGAGATCTTTGTGTTTGAGGACAATCAAATAATATTGTAGGAAAGCACAATTTTTGCACCACATGGCACCAACAATATCATCATATCACTGTGATATGGGTTTTACCTTCTGGCACACATCTTACGTATTCCTTTTTACACATTGAATGCCAGTCAGTGTCTCTAAAAAATGACAATAGAAAGAAAGGAGCTCACTGTGTTAAATACGGTTTCAGTTATGTTTACTTACTAGGATAAACAACCTCGTTTTGTATAAAGCCATTATTTTGTGCACCATGTGCATTTTCGTATTCAGTTATTCGTTCTTTCAGTTCAGACAGCAACCTGCTTGGTGAAGGGCTTGTGGGTGTAGCACTGTATTGGTTCGTTCCTCCCAATAATCATTATTGAACCTATAAGTAAAATAACATGAAATATGTTCATCAACATTAAATGTGTTCATTATAACATCAAGAGACATTGAGTAAAATAAATAAAAAAGAGATATTGTAGCTCGTGTTTGTTGACAATAAGTGGACAGCAGAATTTTTACGATTTTTTACGAATGAAAAGAAATAAAAAATAAACAAATGAAACAAAAACTTGTTAATTTACTGCAATTTTGTTAACTGTAAACTGTAATTCATATGTCTTGGCTCCTGTTGGCTCCATTAAAAGTATCTCGAGAGCGATAAAACGATACATGGTAATACATAGTATACTATTTCTTTAATAGACAAAATATCGAAGGTTCTTATAACTGGAGGGATTTTGGATTTGCCTTACCTTTCCATTTCATAATTGGTTGGCTTAGCTGAACCTCTAATTGAGTACTCTCCCATATCTTGCCCCATGGGCTGGTTTGGAAGTGTAGAGGTGTATTGCGGCGGCGGGGAAATCCTTTGAGCATCGTTAGGTACTGGACCCAGCTTATGGTATGGGTACCTTAATGAAAGTGAAACGTAGCCCGGGAAAAGTAAACTGTTCCATTGTTTTCAAAGGTTTGTCTAATTGATTTCATGATCGAAATGCATTACAAAAAAGTTAGTTATGAACTTAAAATTGTATAATCTACTAATCTACATATATTTGCAATGAATACATATATCTATATACCTCGGTTTCTTAGTGAGACTACTTTTCCTCCATCTGCATAGTACAACAAATAACACGACAACAATAACAATCAGTATGAATGCTAAAACTATCGCCGTGATGGTGATTCCCCACATTGACTGATTAAAAAATTCATCTGAAAATATGAAAAATATCTTGGAATATGTTTGGAAGGTAACTGGTTGATCCAGCCTATCATTCGATAATTACATGTTTTGTTGTTTGATTTTCTAAATAATTGATATGTGGTATTAAATATGCTTCTAGGATTTTGTATTTTGCATACCTGTTTCGCAATGCTTCCCCTTGTAACCATGGTTACAGTAGCATCTATACTCGTACAACTCGTTCACTTTCCGACATTCAGCGTCGTTCATACAAGGATTAGATTCACAAGGATCAACCTCTGTTTCACATCTATCCCCAACATACCCTACATCGCAGTGACATCTATAGTCATTGAGGACAGGCATGTTTTCACATCTGCCATGTTCATTACAGGGGAGCTTGTGTTGCAATAGCCAATATCTGAAAAAATAAATATACACAATATCTGACAGTTTTCTCAGTTATTTATTTATCAAAATCATATAAACATATGAAAATAAGAGAGATAAAGACATCCCAGGGGTATATGGCTTATCACAATCTATAAATATCAAAATGGCAGTGCACTTTCCAAAATGTGGCAATATCCTATGTTACTAAATTATTGCCTTTATAGGTTATACATACTAAAGCAAACTATTTTTTATAAAATAACCCAAGTCAGCAAATCGGCTGAAACATTGTATATTATCTGAATATGATATAAAACAAAGAATAAGGTCAGTACTTACCAAATTCACAATATGTGCCATTATAGCTGGGATCACATATACATTCAAATGTAAATTGGTAATCTATACAGCCACCATTCTGACATGTTTCACTTGCACATCTGTTGGTTCAGCTACGTTCACACCAACGGCGCTTTGATGGCGCTTTAAAGCGGCTTGTAAAGCGGCACCAAAGCGTAGCAAAGCTTGATTAAAGCGTCGGGGTCGTAATAGGTCGTAGAAAAAACTCGGGAGTAAAGCGGGATATTCGGTAAGAGCGCTAAAAAATTTAAACCGTTTAAGCGTTCGCACCAACGGCACTTTGATGGCGCTTTACAGCGGCTTGTAAAGCGGCACCAAAGCGTAAAAAAGCTTGATTAAAGCGTCGGGGTCGTAATAGGTCGTAGAAAAGTTCGGAGTAAAGCGGGATATTCGGCAAGAGCGTCAAAAAATTTTAAACTGTTTAAAAATTTTGGGCGTTCTGTTACGAATTGATTAAAGCGCCGAGAGCGTATCAAAGCTTAAAAAACCGTAACAAAGCTCAGCAAAGCTTCACCCAAAGCGTAGGAAAGCTTAACAGAGCTTGGTTCAAAGCGGGGACCCCAGTCTCTTCACGGTCTGTTACCACTTTACACGCTTCGTTAAGATGTCTCAAGGTTTGTTACGATCTGGCATGAAGATCTGACACGAGGGCAGACGCTTTCATCAATATCTGACACTCTTTGTTACGCTTTCATGAAGGACTCTCAAGCTTTCCAACAAATTGAGACGCTTACATCAAGAATTGAAACGCTTTGTTAGGCTTTGTTACGCTTGACAAGCTTCCTCATGCTCTCTCACGCTCTTTCACGCCGTGCGTCAAACATCATGTCTTATTCAGATAGGTCATGCTCTGGTCCATCTGGAATTTCTGGATCTTGTTGTTCTGTCATCGTTTTCTCGAGTCAAAGATGCAATGGTTTTATGGATCTACTGCATCTTTATATAGTCATTGGATCAAAAGCGGCATGAAATCGGCGATCTCGACATTTTCCAATGCGTGACAGAGCTTTACAGAGCGTAACAATGCACTACAGAGCTTGGCAATCGTATCAGAGCCTGATTTAAAGCGTCATAATCGCATCAAAGCGTAATAATGCTTATCAAAGCTTCTCAAAGCGTGATTTCAAGCGTAACAAAGCCTGGTCAAAGCGTGAGGAACCTATCAGAGCTTTGTTAAGCTTTCATACGCTTTGGATCAAGCTTTTCTGAGCTTTGTTACGGTTTGTTAAGCTTTGATACGCTCTCGGCGCTTAATCGATTCGTAACAGAGCGCCCAAAATTTTTAAAAGCTTAAATTCTTTGGCGCTCTTACCGAATATCCCGCTTTACTCTGAGCTTTTCTACGACCTATTACGACCCCGACGCTTTAATCAAGCTTTGTTGCGCTTTGGTGCCGCTTTACAAGCCGCTTTAAAGCGCCATCAAAGCGCCGTTGGTATTAAGAAAAATGACAAAAATGACGGCACTTTGCTCGCCGATTTAAAGCGTGGCATTCGCCGTTGCTGTGAACGTACCTTTAAGGTACAAACCGTAACAAAGCTCAGAAAAACTTGATCCAAAGCGTAGGAAAGCTTAACATAGCTCTAAAAGGTTCCTCACGCTTTGATCCCGCTTTGATCAGGCTTTGTTACGCTTGAAATCACGCTTTGAAAAGCTTTGATAAGCATTATTACGCTTTGATGCGATTATGACGCTTTAAATCAGGCTCTGATACGATTGCAAAACTCTGTTGTGCATTGTTACGCTCTGTTAAGCTCTGTCACGCATTGGAAAATGTCGAGATCGCCGATTCCATGCCGCTTTTGATCCAATGACTATATAAAGATGCAGTAGATCCATAAAACCATTGCATCTTTGACTCGAGAACACGATGGCAGAACAACGAGATCCAGAAATTCCAGATGGACCAGAGCATGACCTATCTGAAGAAGACATGACGTTTGTCGCACGGCGTGATATAGCGTGTGAAAACTTTCAAGCGTAACAAAGCCTAGCAAAGCGTTTCAATCCTTGATTAAAGCGTCTCAATTCGTTGGAAAGCTTGAGAGTCCCTCAGGAAAGTGTAACAAAGAGTGTCAGATATTGATGAAAGCGTCTGACCTCGTGTCAGATCTTCATGCCAGATCGTAGCAAATCTTGAGACATCTTAACGAAGCGTGTCAAGTGGTAACAGACCGTGAATAGACTGGGGTCCCCGCTTTGAACCAAGCTGTGTTAAGCTTTCCTACGCTTTGAGTCAAGCTTTGTTGAGCTTTGTTAC